GCCAATGATGGGCCAGAGATCTACGCACTACTTTTTTGGAATTCTGGACTTTAAAGATAAAATTATATATGTGTATGATTCCATGGGCAGTGTAACATATGAGCGTGCGGTTGAACATGTCAGAAATTATGCCCGGTTGATCCTACACTATCTCAAATACTTGGAATTTGGGGCACACAATAAATTTTATGAGGCTAGTCCTGTGGAAAAATTTCAAATTAAGTGGATGGTCTCACCGCAGCAGACTAACAAGTACGTGTTTCGCATATGTTTTACCATGCATCTTATGTTTATTATATTTTGTCCTTGTGTTAACTATTTTTCATGTTCTTTTTGTAGTGTTGATTGTGGTGTATTTGCTCTTAAGTTAATTGATATGCGGTTGAATAAAAAAGATGTCTTCAATTTCGATCAAAGTCAGTCATTGACCTTCAGGAGAGAATTGGCTGCCAATCTTTGGGCTCATGGAAAGTGGAAAAAAGATAGCGGCTATGAAACTCCAGAAGAACAACAAGGACATGATTATGGAGATTTTGAAGAGACTGTGTGTGAATTTTTTGATTAGAGGATTGGTTGCACATAATTTGTATTTTGTGAATATACATTAAGTATTTTTTTATTTCACTTTTGTTCATACAACTATGTTTGTGTCTTTTATTATGAATTTTAAGTACATTTTTGTTGAAAAACCTTAAGCATGAAGTAAATGACTTCTGGTTTTTTAGCTGAAGTTTTGGTTAAAAGTCATAACAAAAGTGTCGATTATAGGACAAAAACTTCAGCTTATCAAATGTTGAAGTTTTTATAAATACACTAAAAAACTTCAGCACGTTGGGCTGAAGTTTTTTTGAAAAAGCTGTAGGAAAAAACTATTGAATCCAACACAAAAACTTCAGCTTATCAAGAGCTGAAGTTTTTAAAAATACACTAAAAAACTTCAGCACATTGGGCTGAAGTTTTTTGAAAAAGCTTTACGACAAAAACTATTGAATCCAACACAAAAACTTCAGCTTATCAAGAGCTGAAGTTTTTAAAAATACACTAAAAAACTTCAGCACATTGGGCTGAAGTTTTTTGAAAAAGCTTTACGACAAAAACTATTGAATCCAACACAAAAACTTCAGCTTATCAAATGCTGAAATTTTTAGAAATATACTAAAAATTTTCAGCACATTGGGCTGAAGTTTTTTGAAAAAGCTGTACAAAAAAACTATTGAATCTAGCACAAAAACTTCAACTTATCAAGAGCTGAAGTTTTTAGAAATACACTAAAAACCTTCAGCATATTGGGCTGAAGTTTTTTTGAAAAAGCTCTACGAAAAACTATTGAATGCAACACAAAAACTTCAGCTTATCAAGAGCTGAAGTCTTTAGAAATACACTACAAAACTTCAGTACATTGGGCTGAAGTTTTTTGAAAAAACTTTACGACAAAAACTTTAGCATGTTTTGGTATTTTTTTACTTTGATATTTATCTTTTTTGCATTTTCTAGCTACTTTTTGTCATTTATCACCTATATCACCTACTTTTTGTGGCCTTATTTTTTACTATTTTTTATTGCATTTACCAACTACTAGCATTTACCTCTTACTTGTTTTGCCTGCTACTTATCTTCTTACATTCAATTTCTCTGAACAAAAAACAGTTAACAATCTCTTCAGCATTTATAGATATTAAATTGATTAGGTGTGCTCTTTGGCTATATTAATGATCTCTTCACTTGAAAATTTTCATAGTCATCCATAGACTTCTATCATATTTCTTTAAATTTATATTCAAAGAAAAACAAGAAAATGTTGGCATATACATGCTTATTGGGTGTAGCAGGGAGTTTATGGGAAGCAAAGATAATGAAGGAAAAGTCTAAATACTTCATATGTGAAGGAGAGTGGCCAGATCAAACACTCGAGCTCCAGGACAATTTGCTCTTTTTACTAGTTGATAAATCTAAGTTTTAGTAAAATTATCCCGGGGATCGAGTATTTGATGTGGCCACTCTCCGTCACATATGAAATTTTTTGGACTTCTCTTCATTATCTTTGCTTCCCACGAATTCCCTGCTGCACACCAGTAAGCATGTCTTTGCCAATATTTTCTTATTTTTTTCTTATGAAAGAAGACGGGAATTGCTAAAAAAAATTATAGTACTAAACTTTGTCAACTTGTGTCTGACAGAAAACGCTTTGGTGGAATTAAATTTGGTGAAATAGAGGGTGACTGTCTTATAGCTCATGGTGTTGCAGCGAATTTGCATGAACGCTTTTTCACACTTAGTAAGTCCTCCCAGATGCACATATGTGAAAAATGCAATAATATGGCAAATGTAATTCAGAGGTCCGTACAAGATGGTAAAGAAAGGTGCTCGTATTGCAGCTTTTGTGAATCAGTTGAAGACATAGTGAAGGTTCATGGAGTTTTGTTAAGAAACCCAAGAAAAGCAACTAGGACATGTGGAGAATATGAAGACACACTGTCAATTTTTTGCGTAGAGAATAACTTGTAAAAAAACTAATTTTTTCTTCTTTTTTTTCAAGGATGTAAGCGAAAACAAAATTGGATTGTGTAAATATACATTATTTTGTGTGATTTATGTGATGTCCTTTAAATTTTTGTTCTATTCGCATTACAGTTTTTTAGTATACTTGGATTGATTCAAATATGCTAAACTTCAGTATGAAGTAAATAACTTCTGCTTTATAAACTGAAGCTTTGGTTAAAAGTCATAACAAAAGTGTCAAATGTAGGACAAAAACTTAAGCTTTTTCTGCGTAAGTTAATTGAAAAAGCTTTACGACAAAAAATATCGAGTCCAGGACAAAAACTTCAGTTTATCAAGTGCTGAACATTTTAGAAATGAACTAAATAACTTCAACACATGCAGTTGATGTTATTTGAAAAAACTTTACGACAAAAACTATCGAGTCCAGGAGAAAAACTTCAGCTCATCAAGTACTGAAGTTTTCATAAATGAACTAACTAACTTCAGCATATTGAGCTGAAGTTTTTGAAAAAGCATTTACAACAAAACTATGGAATGCACGATGAAAAACTTCAGTTTATTATGTGCTGAAGTTTTAGAAATGAACTAAATAACTTCAGTACATTGGGCTGAAGTTTTTGAAAAAGCTTATGACAAAAACTTCAGCATGTTTTGGTATTTTTTTAAGTTGATACTTATCTTTTTTGCATTTACTATCTACTTTTTGTCTTTTGTCACCTACTTTATTTTTCATTTAAATTTTTTTGACCATATAGTAAATGATCCGAAAGTTATTTTCAGGCTGAAGTTATTTTTTTACTATAGAAAAATTGTGGGCTTATTAGGGCTAAAGTTATATTTCTTTTTGCATTTACCACATACTTGTTTTACTACATATTTATCTTGTTTCATTTAATTTCTCTGAACGTAAAACAGTAAAAACACCTGGAAAGTTACTTTTACATTTATAGATATTTAATTGAATAGGTGAACTCTTTGTCTATATTAACAATCTCTTCACTTGAAAATTTCATAGTCATTCATAGACTTCCATCATATTTCTTTAAATTTATATTCATCCATAGTTTTTGTTAAAGAAAGAATGTCTGGTGGAAGCAGAAGTAGGAAGCCTAATTTTGATGAAATCATGCCGAAGTGGGAGACTTTGAAGTGTGAATGGTACAATAGCAAACCGATGGCTAATCTTATGCTTTTGTGGGATCAAATAAAGGTTGATTGGGAGAGAATCAGACCAAAACTCTTTGCCAATGAATCATTCCAGAACAGGCTTAACCTGGAGCGTAGTTGTGGAGGTTATTTAACCTCATTCGACAAGGTTGTGCAACAGTTTCATAGTTTTCAGTTTCCCACCGGAACGACTATTCCAAGCTGCAAAACAACCTGAAGACTTTTCTTCCTCTTATGGACAGAGTAATCATCGAACAAAGTCAGTTGCGTGATGAATTCGACAAGTTGAAGATTGATATCCTTGGATTCAGTGGTCTTTTGCCCGATAGTTATCTCTGATACTGATGATGATGAGATACTTAGAGAAATTGAAGAGTACTGTGATGATGATGATGATGATGATGATGATGATAATGATGATGGTGGTGGTGGTGGTGGTGATGGTGGTGATGATTGTTTGTGTTTGTTATCCTTTTTTTATGTTTTAATCCTGTGCTTTTTTGTTTACTTCATCCCAGAGAGCTGAAGTTTTTAGGTTCATTTTGTATAACTTCAGCCCAGAGAGCTGATGTTTTTGTTTGTACTTTGTGTGTTGTTCTCATCTCTTTTTGTATCAATGTAATTCTCATACTCTTTCTTCTTAGCTTTATATTGCATTATCCTTGTTATTTATTGGTATTTGCTTTATACTTCTTAGTTGATTTTTATGTTTAGTTTTTGTAATTCTTTTTCATATTTTTATGTTGTGATTTTTTTGTAATGAATATGCTGAAGTTATTAAGTTCATTTTCTATAACTTCAGCTTAGAGATGCTGAAGATTTTGTTCGTACATGCCTTTCTTTTGTGTGTTGTACGCGTATGTGTGTCTGAGTGTGTGTATGTGTGTGTGTGTGTTAAGGATATGTATTTCACATACTGTAACCTGAAGTTTTTTCTCGCAGAAGTCATTGTGTACTTTTTAAAAATGCAACCAAACCTGTTAGCATGCGCAATAAAAATGAGTGATTTGTACTTTAGTAGTATATAAAATAGTCCAATAGCTTCTTCTTTTTATTCCTATGAAAAAAATCACATTTCAAATATGTCATACAATAATGAAAGTCTAAATTCAGACCAAGGATTATTGAAGGTTGGAGTACTTTTCAGTGTGTTTCTTTGAATATGGATGAGGTGCTAGAGAAGACAAGCAAGTTGTTCTATTATGCCCAACTTGTTTACATCGACTGCACTTGGTAGATTTTAATGGTACTGATTCAGTCACAGGTATATACCTCTTCTTTTGTCTTCTTCCTTGTAAAATCTCTACATTGGGAGGTTTTGTGATCTCAGATTATACATTTTGTGGTATATCCCATGATTTTTGATCTCCCACGGTATTCACATGTCCTTCATATGTTTTCAACCATGTTTCCTTTGAATACCAATTTGAGCAGTAATCAGATTTCTGCAGATATCTCTTATTAATAGCAGCAATTGCATGTGGACAGGGCAATTCATCAAGTTGGAATTCCAGGCAGTTACAAGTTCTCTTCTTTAAGTCCACAATGAACTCGATTCCTTCACTTTTTATTCTAAACAACATTGAATCAAGGTTGAACACCAAACAAGGAATAAAAAATTAAGACAAACTATATTAGTGTATTGTTGCTTCAAAAAGAAAAAGTATGAATTTTTTTAAATGTAAGCAGTAAATCACTGCAACAGATATAAAAAGCTGAAGTTAATAAATATACTCACAAACATTTTACAAGCCAAGTCCATCTTCTTAGTCATCTCTTCTTCTGCCCATATTGATACTCTGTGAAAAGTTTCATTTGCCTTTTTTCTCCGTTCGTAAAACCACTCTCCTAACTTTTCTTGGATGAAATCTAACATTCTTAAAATAGGCATTTCTCTCCCTTTTAGTAAAACGGAATTCATTGATTCTACCATGTTTGTTGTTAGCATATCATAACGTCGCCGTGGGAACCACGATCGAGCCCATCTCTCTGGAAGCTCTTCCATTATGTAATTGTATGTTTTCTTGTCAATACTTTTGAGTTGGGACATGATTAAAATCTTCACGTTTGTATGACCTTGCAGCACTTGGAAAAAGATTTATTACCGTGGCTTTTGCATGTCTTTGCTTTAAATTTTTCTCAAAGTGATAGAGGCAGATACTATGGTGAGCTTCAGGAAAAACTTTTCTAATCCCATTTGCAATTGATTGGTTTCTATCTGACAAGAAAACCAATTCACGACAGATTTGAATTGCTTTTCTCATTTCCCCGAAGAACCAAATGTATGCCTCATTGTTTTCTGATTCTACTACACTAAAACATAGAGGAAAGATTTGATTGTTTGCATCCTTTGATACAGCAACAAATAGAACACCATGATATTTGGACTTTAAAAACGTTGCATCTACTGCAATAACGGGTCTACAGTAGGACCAACCAGCTACTGATGTCGCAGAAGCAAAGAACATGTAAGCAAATTTGTACAGTGAAACACAAAAAAATAAATCATAAGGTGTGAAGTTTTTCAAATAGGAACATTTGAAACTTCAGGCTAATGGTTAGTATTGTTTTGCTTACCTATTCTGCACATCTCTTTTTATGCTTGTGTACGTTCCTGGATTTTTGCACACCATCATGTGTAGGTATGAAGGAAGAATTTGGTAGTTCTCTTTAAGTGTTCCCCTTATGCAAGCAACAGCTTTTTGAACAGCACGCCATACCTTGTGATAACCAATGTCGATTCCAAATTTCTTTTTCATTTCATTTTCTACAAAGGCTGGTGTAACCTCTATCTTTTTGTCTTGAACATGTTCTACAATTTGTTCACTTATAAAATTTGATGTAACATGCTTCTGATCTGATTTTCTTGCATCAACCGAGCATTCATGGATGTTATGATATTTTATCACCCTGAATAGTGTGGAACTTTTTATTCTGGTAGCACGTACATTCCAACCACATTTGTCTATGATGCATTTCAGCCCATATCTCTTTGAACATGATCTAACAGCAGTGAATTCAACTTTCTGGTTTATCTCCAAGCTGCAGAAAAATTTATGTCATATTTTGTTTGTTCTCAAAAATTGATCCAACTCTTACTTCCTCAGGCAACGCATCATGCCTAAGTATTTTACATGGTGGAGATTCTTTCAGCTTTCTCCTCACTCTTTTTCTTGATTTCTGAGAAGCACAAGAACTTTCAGCAATTTCTTCAATTCTATCTGATGTTATCGGTATAAGCTCCATGTTTACTTCATCATTGTTGTTGCTTATCGTTGCAGAAGATAACAAAAAGCTTTGTTGGATTGTGTGTTGGTTGTCAATTTGCATTATTAGTTGTCCTTCTTCTTCTTGTTGTCATCGACAAACTGGTTTGAATTTATTGGAGGAGGGGGTAATTGTTGCAGCATTATATTCTAAAGCAGTTGTAATGTTAGAAGGTTGTTGCGCGTTGTCTACTTCCATTATTGGTTGTCCTACTTCATATTGATAATCAGCAAAAGGTTCTGATTCTATCGCATATGCAAGAGATTGTTTGAATGCTGCAGATTCTGAAGGTTGTATTTTTCGATGATGAAATGGCAATTCTTGTAGGGTGAATCAGTTGTAAGCAAATGTATACAGGTACTGAGTTCTTCATCAGAAGTTACAAGCATTCCTTTGCTTGTATTTAGTTTGATATCAAACCATACTTTTAGTGCATATCTGGTTGAGTCAATATTTGCAACTTCACTTATTTTCTTCAGGAAAGTATTGAATGATGTGTGCTTATTAAGTAGAACAAGTTTTGTATCATGATCCAAGTATTTGAAATTAGGAGTCCAACTCCCATTAAAAACTTATAACAACGCAAATCGAACTCATTCTGCAGATTCATGTTTAATGGCAAGTATTAGGAAAGTGAACAGAAGAATTTTTAGGCATCTTCTGCCGAATTTTTTTGGAAAAAGATGTATGACATAATTAATGAATCGTGCACAGAAAACTTCAGCGTATTAAGTGCAGAAGTTTTTAGAAATAAGCTTAATAACTTCAGCATATCAGCTGAAGTTTTTTTTGAAAAAGTTGTATGACAGGGATTCATGAATGCAGGGAAAAAAACTTCAGCTCCTTAAGTGCTGAAGTTTTTAGAAATGAACTAAATAACTTCAGCACATTGGGTTGAAGTTTTAGCAAATGAATTCAACAAACTTGAGCATGTTTCAGCATTAATTGCATAGTATACAGGAGTAACCTACACAATTAAAGTAGTAATTATATTTGTGTTGGGGGTATGTGTTAGTGTAATAATTACATTCCTATCACATTCATGTACGCTTTTCATTAGACAACGTTTAAAATTCCTCTTTGCTTTTTCATATACCATGCAGAAGTTTTTTCCCCTATATAAGCACGTTATTCCTTGTGAGTTTATTCACTCAAACACATATATTTTAGCAGACATAAAATACAAAAAGGAGAAAAATAGATGCTGTCATCAGGCAAATAGTAGAAGAAATCAAGCAAGACATTATAGAGGCTTTTGAGCTGAAATTGGATGAGCTCATAGAGAAGTACGACAGCGAGTTGGAAGAAATTAAAAACAAGTTTGATACGCTTGTGATGTATGCAAGATTTTATAATCTTGTTGATGAAGATGCTCGTCCATCTGGTAGTGACGATGACGATGATGATGATATGGACAATTAGTTTTTCTTTTTGTTATTTATGATATTTTGTTATTTATGTAATTTAATTTATCTTTTTTGATGTTTAATGAAATATTCAGTTTTTATTTTAAGTTTTTTTCTGCGTTTCTTTAATATTAATTCTATTCAAACTCGAAAAATAGCAGAGGAAATGAACTATATAACTTCAATAGGAATTAACAAAAACTAATCTGAATATTAAGTATTTTTTGGTATGAAGTTTTTTTCAAAAAATCATAATAAAATACACAGTGCTTGATGAAAACTTCAAGCATGAACTAAAAATTCTTTTTAAACTTAGAAAATAACAGAACAATTAACAAAAACTTATCCGAAAATTACATATTACACGAGAAAATATTAAGCATTTTTAGCAGATGAACTAAAAAAACTTCAGCATAAAAAAAATTATATCAAAAATGTTTTACATATTCCTGAAAACATAAGCATTTTTTGGTATGAAGTTTTTTCAAAAAATGATAATAAAATACATAGTGTGGGAGGAAAACTTCAGTTCCATTAGCTGAAGTTTTTACAGATTAACTAAAGAAGTGCTGAAGTTTTTTGTGCAATATGAAATTTTAATTGATGTTTTATTTTTTTTACCCAGTGTATTAGGAAAACTTCAGCTTCTCCTGCTGAAGTTTTCAAATATTAACTAAAAAACTTCAGCACTTATGCCGAAGTTTTTTGTGCATTATGAAATTTTAATTTATGTTTTATTTTTTTTACCTAGTGTAATAGGCAAACTTCAGCTTTTAAATATTAACAAAAAAACTTCAGCACCTATACTGAAGTTTTTTGTGCATAGGTGTTTTAAATATTAAAACACTCATATATTGTTTTAATATAATTTTTTCTTCGTTGTGTTATTTGCCAGCTCGTTTTGCTGAATTTTTTAGATATGAACTAAATAACTGTCAGATTAGAATGTTAGAATTCATCGTCAAACAGATTTAGAAAGCAAATTCAGCATATCAGTGAAGTTCGTCAAACAACTTCAATCGATCAATCAGAAAACATATAATTCAAAAACTATTTTGAATTCTGGAGATAAATTTGAATACTTACAATGTATTTGAATTTGAATTTGGAATTTGAATCTGGTTGCGAGAGGCGATCTTAGGAGAAACGGACTGATGGAGGAGATACGGAGGAGATTTGGAATTTGAATCTGGGTATGCTTGATGCAACTTTTATATGTTTTGGAAGGGGTATAATGGCCATATTATTACAGATTTTTTGTTAGTTGGTTACAAAATCAATAGTTTTTAAAAATAGGATATAGGTTAAAAGGTGGCATAAAAATAGGGTACGGCTGCAAATCGCCCTAAATAGTATACAAAGAGCAGTTAGACCAATATCGCAGTTTGAAAAGTAAGTAGATTTATAAATATAATACATGACAATACTCTTCCAAAAGAAAGGGCTTGACCATACTGACTGTCACAATCGCAACACCTTTTGTTTTCCACTATAACTAAAACTTCGACAGATATGTATCTTGTTAAAACACGAACATACCAAAATAGCTTGCGAAAAATGATTAAAGTAAATGATAAATTTTATGTAAATTAAGTGGCTTAAGATCATATCACAGAAGTAGATATATAAAGAAAGGCATTTCTGACAGCTTGTGTACTTTGACAGTGTAAGTGATATTTACATTATCATGTCACCGTTACTTGTTATAGTGACAATCTGTCTTATTTTAAATTTTAAAAATCTCATATTTGAAGGTGGTTTACCTGCATATATCACTTGTGATTTGATGGTGTAAAAATTTCTTTACGCTCAGACGGTGTATACAACCTAAACTCTAGTGCTTTTGTTAAATGCAACCAGAACAAAGCAGCTGCGAATAACATGCTTTATGCCTATGAATAACATTGCTGCAAGCAATTACACAGAGAACAAAATATCCAACTATTTTTAAATTATGTCCGCCGTTAATGGGCTAAAATTTTTCTGTAATAGAAAAATCCAACTATTTTTAAAGATAAAATCTTATGTGGATTGAATTAAAGAGCGGCTTCAAAAAATTCAACAGTTTATATTGAAGAAACCTATAAAAATAATCAAACAAATCATAAAATGTAGAAGGATTGAAGAAAAAAGAGAAAATGTAAAGTTGATATCTTTTAGCTCCCACAACTCTGATTTGCGCTGTTGTTTTCCTCCCAAAATGGCTGTGATAATCCTCAAAAACGAAACACATATGAGCTTTATTTATAAATTCTTGATAACAAATATATTTCTTGACTGACCTGAACCTCCTAAACCTGGTACCATACGTATGAGAGGAAATAGTACACATATGAGAAGATGAAAAATTCTAGCCAAAAGGCTTTGGGTCTATATATTTAGTTATTAGCCTCTAAGTAATATTGATTCCAGACAAAAAGAAAAGTAATATATATTTGATAGGCACACAAAAGGAAGTACTATTATGAATTGGTTTGTGTTAGTTATCAATATAGAGAGACAAAATATTTCCCTTTTCCCTCCTTAGAGCGAGTCTGAGGGATTAAGCAGGTGGGAATTAATCCAAGCCTTTGAAAATTCCTGTTATAAAGCCTAACTTTATGCTTATCTTGCCATTTACCCCCATGTGATATAAAAAGCCAATTAAATCATCCTAATTCACTTTTGTCTCAAAAACAAAAAAATGGAAGATGATAAGCGAGGAATTCTACCAAATGTGGCTATTAAAAGAAGTTCAGAAAGCAATTCAAATATCACCATACAAACAACTCCTATAACAACAACCTCTACATTTACAACCAATTGTACCAACATCAAGACCGAAAACAACAACAATAACAAGTGTAGTAATAGTAGTAATAACAACAATACTAGTAAAGAACAGGATCGGTTCCTTCCAATAGCGAATGTGGGACGAATCATGAAGAAAGTCATCACAGGAAATGGAAAAATTTCAAAAGATGCAAAGGAAACGGTCCAAGAATGCGTGTCAGAGTTCATTAGCTTCGTTACAGGAGAAGCATCAGACAAATGCCAACGCGAAAAGAGGAAGACGATTAATGGCGATGACATTATATGGGCTATCGGAGTCCTTGGATTCGACGAATATGTGAACCCATTAAAGCAATATCTTAACAAGTACAGAGAACTTGAAGGTGAAAAATTAAATGTTCCTAATAAGCAGCAGCAGCAGCAGCAACAACAACAACAGCAACAGCTACATGATCACGCGCATTCGCCTAGTTTGCCTAATTACAACAGCGTATATAATTCTCCCTCAGGTCTTGGTTTGCCTCAACCTTCATTTGTGTCAACAGATCAATCGTTTCCGTTGCCATTGATTTCACAGAATTCAATTCAATCCCAATTATCTCAACAAGAGCAGCAGATTGACTCTGTTGGACATTGGTAAAAAAAAATGAATAGTTTTGATCATTATACGTAATTTATCTTTTTTTTTCTTTTGGTATTTTCCTCCTTTCATTTGAAAATTTTTGTAACGCAAAATGATATAGGATGAGCATATATACTGTTATATTACATTGAAATTCTTGAACGGCTTATATATGATTTAATTAGGATAGTTTAGGATTTAGCACGTCGTGTTATTTATCTCGTGCATATAACATCTCATGCACACACGCAGAGAAGCATGTTTTGTTTAGCTAGAAACATATAACGTCTAATTTGGTTGATCTAAATTCTTTTGAAATGCTGTATATATATACATATATACACACACACACTCTTCCCTCATGTTTTGCATATTTGAGCTTTGAGCTTGTGGATGGTAACTATGGAGTCCCTTATGATTGTCTTTAGCAATGCATAGCGTTAATAGACGTTACTTGTTAATTCAACTCTGTCATTCTTTATGAACCGTACATGAAGATCATATATTTTGTTAATTATTTCTTCATTTTTTATTCAAAATTGATTGGTCATTCTAAGACCTCCAAAAAGAATGTACTATCTTTAATCTTGTGTGTTTATGGTTTTGTGCCAAAATCTTACATGTGAGATGCCTTGGAGGAAAGAAAGGTGATTATCAGGGGACAGATTTACTGCTCAATTTATGTTGCACATGAACCCATGGTCGTTTTACCAAATTAGGTATTTTACGTATATATTTTCTAGAAATGATCTAATATTATTTGTTGGACGTTATGCTCCAAAAAAACTGAATGCTGCACTTGGTTGAAGGCTGGGTTATTTATTAAGAATTTGGTGCACTAGAAAGAATTCCTATTGTCTACAAATCGTGGCTTATTCTTAGCTTGTTGGTGTTCTGCAGGAAACTTCAGTTTTTGAGATGGTTTTGGGCTCTTAATTATCATTTCTTGCAAAGATTAATTTCCTCTTCCAACCATATATATATAGGCGTGTGAATTTATTTGAAATCCAGCTTTCGGCACTCCTGAAACTATAGTTATTTAAGTAGTAGCTTCATCCTATAGTTGCTTTGAATAACTCATAGTATAGAAAATTTATTTGGACACTTACGGCTTGTTTGGACGGTTGTTACTTATTGTATTATATCGTATTGTTACTTTAAATATCATGTTTATTTTGGTTGTTACTTAAATTTTATTATATCGTATTGTTAAATCCGTCGTTACGTAACGACGAAATGCGCCACTTTATATAACGACCGATTTCATGTGGTTGATGTTAACCAAAAGATGGGATTTCGGTCAAAGCTTTAATTTAGAAGAACTCGGGTTACTGATAATCAAAAGAATATATGAAAGAAAGTAATTTGGCTAGCAATAATATAATCAGAAGAAAAACAAGTAAATCAATATATCCAGATAGTATTTCGTGCCCCTACAATTGATCAGTTATCTCCCTTTTATAGCTATTTGGGAGATATGCGTTTTGCACTTGTCATAATTAGGCTATTATGAGTAATTAAAGACATTGAATACTACGTTACACAATCATTGTATTTAATACAAATTCTCTAACGTATTCAGTATTTCATGTTCATTAAATACTATATTTGTACTCTCATATATTGTCAGATTCATTCCCCTTGATTCCTGGACCTAAATGACTTAAATAGGTACGAGCGCCGAGTCCCTTGAATATCTTCCCGTGCCTCTTCCTTTGCCTTTGCTCGTATCTGTTGCAACTCGTGTCTCTTTGCCAGCTGTAACTCTTTGACTAGTCTATGTGTCTTGACACGTCATCTTTATTCCACTTTAATATGTAAACTCAATTTTTCCAATATTGATAGTCCCCCCACTTGCCACTTATTCATCAGTTGAATATTTGGGAAGTGGATTTCATTAAAACGAGAATTTTTGTCACCATTAATGCTATGACAAAATTGACGCTTCAATTGTCACTTCCATTTAATGCTCTTCATACGTGTCACCTTTTCATTAGTTCCGCAGTTTTGCAGCCATTTCTAAGGCTTTTTCACAGCTTCACTATTCATGAAGCGTCAGTTATCATTATTATGGTACTTCCATCATTACACTTTTTCCTTCAGTGGTTGCTTATCAGTATAAATATAATTTCTTTCTTTGTCTTTTCCACATAAAGTTTACTGAATATTCAATCTCTCAATTCTCTGTTTGCTTCTTCATCGTATCATCCTCCTTCGTCATGTTTTCTTCAAATTCTAACCCTAGAAGGGTTCCCACAGTTGATACCTTCTCTAATGCCCCCATTAGAAGCATAAGGGGAGGTAGGCTTCGTAATTTAGGATCTGTTCGTGGTTCTTCCACTCCTTTACCTAGTTCTGGCCCTTCTTCTAGAACTAGGGGTTCACTTTCACAAAGATCTTTTTCAAGAGGTAAAGAACCTTCTGAACCTCTTCGTGAGCCTACAGTAGAGGAGATAGTTCCTACAGAACTATATTTTTATCATGACAGAGAATCTCTTAGGAACCAACTCTCTGGTTTAGATCGTGCTGATATTTATCCCACTCAAATTACAGAAGGTTTGATTTCTATAGTTTGTAGAGACTGTCATTGGAGTAGTGATTTCCCTATTATTATCCCTAATCCAAATCAAATAATCACCTCTTACATGACAGGGTTTTCTTTTGTTTATACATACCCTTTCACCTTAGGGTTTAGACCATCTATTGACCCAGTTATTCTTGAGTTCTGTCATTTCTTCGATGTTTGTTTGGGTCAAATTGACCCAATCATATGGAGGGTTGTTGCCTGTTTGAGGCATTTGACCAACACAGCCGGTGTTCCCTTTACTTTCCCTCATTTGATTCACCTTTATTCGCCTAGACTCTTCCGCAATGGTTTTTTCACACTAGTAGCCAGGAGAAAGAGAGTTTTGGTGAGCCCTGAGAATGACAAATATCGTGGCTGGTATGCCAGGTTTGTTGCTACCCCCACTATTGGTTTAGTGGGTGATGATAATGTTCCCTTCCCTGAGAAGTGGAATTTTGCACGTAAGTCTTTTTAACTTTCTCGTGCCTTTTTTTCTTCAAGTTTGTCAACTTTTCTAATTTTGCTTTTTTTTAGCAACCATAGGAGTTGTGGAAGACGTTCCCAATTTCCGTGATTGGGTAGACAAGTTATTGAGGACCACACCAATGGATGGTAGGTCTTGGAAGACACTTTCTAACCGTTTTGGTTAGAAAGTAAAAACTCATGGTAAAAGCTTTTATATTATTTCATCTTTTCGTGTATTTTTTTTTATTGCACTAATTTCAATCCATCTTTTTATCAGGATTTGCTATTCGTGGAGTCACTGCCAAGGCAGTCGCGGCTTCCCGCATCTCTTTGGAAAGGGCTCAAGAAATAATCTTGGGTTCTTCTGCAAAAAGAAAAGTCGTTGCCGTTGAGGAACAAGACTCTGAAGAGGAGGAAGATGGGGGCTCTTTGGTGACAAGGCCATGAGCTCGAAGATGCATCATTTCTAATGATGAAGCAGAGGCATCCCCCCATCGTTCTGTTCCTCTTGTCGAGTCTACTGAGACTCCGGTACTGATTCCTGATGATGACGTTGCTCCCGCTGTTGCTCATGACTCTGTTGAGTAGCTTTTTATTAGCGGGTTTGGTAGTGAAGGTTTAGGCCCTGTTTTAGATGAAGTACCCTTGTCTTCTTTTTCGACACCCGTGTCTGTAACTCATTCTTTGCCAGTCTCGATTGTTTTCATTCCTCCCCAGACTATTTTTACTACCTCTTATGTTCCTCCTTCGACAATTCCTCCTCCAAACATTCATCGCACTGAAGTTGGCTCCTCAAGTAGGAGTGTTGCTATGAGGCGAGTAGTCATTAAAGTCCCTGTTGAGGGCAGTCTCTTAAGGAAATCAGGCCAAGTGGATGTATGGCTAGAGCCTTTAATTGGCCCAATTGAGAAAGCTAAGCTAGAGAGCCATAGTTACTTGACCCTGGTGAATGATATTGTGCACGCCACTTTGAAAGTATTCCCCTTCTCTTTTACATTGTAATTTTTCTATCTTTGAGGATTCTTATTTCCTTTTCTCCTTTTTAGGCCAACCTTATCGGCACAGAGATGATGAAAAGAATTTCCCACTTAGATCAATTAGCGCGTGATTCTCAGTTAGAGGCGTGCAATTGGAGGGAACAATTTGAGATCTGGCAAATTGATGTGGAGTATTTAGAAAAGAGTAAGAGTATCTTGGAGCAGCAGGTACGGGCTTTGACTTCGGAGTTGGCGATTGAAAAGGCTTCCTCAAGCCAAGCAGATAAAGAAAAAAGTCGCCTTGAAACATCCTTCTCAGAGCAGTTGTCCAAGGCTAGTGAAGAAATCAGAGAGTTGAAGGCACTTTTGAGTAAAAAAGAAGCTTACGCTGGGGAGCTCGTACAAAATTTGACTCAGGCACAAGAAGACCTTCGAGCTTATTTTGATAAGGTGCGTGCTTTAGAAAGCTCTTATGCCTCTCTCCAGACTTCTTACACATCTGTCTTGGCTGAAAATGAGAAGTTAACGAACGAGATTACTGACTGGGAAAGGGATTATGAGATCCTTGAAGATAAATCTGCTATTGAAGTAAGTTAGGCGTTTTTGAATTCACGCTATGATACCCTAATTAAAGCTGTCCAAGAAAATTTCAACTTGGAATCTAAGTTGGCTAAAATCAATGAAACTATTGAGAAAGTTCAGCAAACTCAAGATTCTCCTCTCCCGTGGCCGAAGCTTCCGTGAATGTTGAAGTCGATACGGGTATCCCAACTATTTCAAGCCCAGTCGAGCCTATTGCTGCAAGTCAAGTTGAGCCCGCAATTGTTGATACTCCTACCCAAGTTGAGCCCGTTGTTGTTGATGCTCATGCTTCAGTACCTTCAACTTCTCAGTGACCAGCTTTAGTTGTTTGTATATCTTTGTTTTTGTTTTATTCGGAAAATTGTGATCAAACCCTTGGTTTCATTTGAGGGTTTATTTTGAAAACGCAAGTCCCCAGACCTTTTCATGGGGCAATTTGTATAAATAATTCGTAGCTTTACAACTAAGTTCGTACTTAGTCTTAAGTTGTTTTTTTTTAAATATTAAGAAGTTTTCTCGTTATTATCTTGAACTTCTGTTTACTTTATTCTTGCCTTTATTTTGTAAGGACTTACAGAATAATTTGCATTTTTATTCTTCAAAAATGCTTCTGTTAACCTCATGACTAATTAATTTAAATATAAGTTTTATAAAAGAGGACCCTTTTATATTCAACACTTAATGAAGAAGATGTCTCAACTTCATAATGGTGTTTAACATACGATAAAAGAAATAGGAACACACATGTTTCTTTGAAATAACTTTGACAAGTTTTTATTTTAACCTTGTCTAGTTTTGAATAACTCTTTACATGTATTTGAATTACATCTATAACTTTCTCGTAACTGTTTTTTTTTTGTAACAGATTTAAAAAAGTAAAAATAATAAACACGAGGTTTTTACTTATAACTCGTTTCAGTACATAGCCTTTACCCTAACTATAGTAAGGTTTTCTTTGGCCTTAGTTCGTGACTTCGTGACTTTTACTCTGCACTTGACTTTTTCAGGTTTGAACTTTGATTTTTCTCAATATTCTTTGCCTTCTTTATACACATGCATGTGTATATTATGTGCTCAATCTTCGAGCACTTGATTATTCCTCTCATTTGGTCCTTTCCCTGAAATAGGAAAAACATACGGGACTCGGAGGTACGATTATAGATGAAGACTGCTTAACCCATTTTGAATTTCTATCAGAATTCTATAGGGTCCCTCCCATGTTGGACTTAATTTACCCGCATTAGCTGCCTTCGTAGATTGGAGAGCCTTTTTGAGCATGAAGTTCCCAATTTTGAAGAATCTGAGGCGTGCTCTTCGGTTGTAGTACCGTTCTATGACTTGCTTCTGTGCTGCCATTCTTATTAATACAGCTTCCCGTCTTCCTTCAAGTAAATCAAGATTTACATGCATTTCTTTGTCATTAGACTCTTCTATTGCCTGCGTAAACCTCGTACTTGGCTCTCCTATCTCAACGGGAATTAAAGCTTATACTCTATAAACCAACGAAAATAGTGTTTCTCCTGTAT